GTATTCGAGAAAAAAGGCTTTTTAAATACTTAAAGAGAGGAAATCGCAACTAAGTTCAAACTGTAATGTAATATATAGGTCAACAGCAAGGTGGATAAAGGATCCTTTATACGCCTTGGGTCAAGAATGAGCGTCTCAGGTTTAAGCTGAATAAATCGCTTCATATTGTATCCGTTATATATTGTTCCTATTTTACACATATTTTACGCAAGCTCAAAAAGGAATGAAAATTATGAAAATATTTCCTTATTCCATTGACATATTTTTCCTCAGTTAACTTAATTTGTTTTGTTAGTTTACTTCTTATGGCTATATTTAAAATTCTGCATACACGTTTAGTCTGTCTTTGTACTATGCTAATGATTCTGATACTTTTCATAGTACAATGTATACATATGAATAGAAATAAGAATAAAATAGTTCTGGTACAACAACTTAGGTATATTAATGTAATTAGTAAGCCAACGTTGTCAAATAGATTATATTATTTTGTTTTTAAATTTCTTCTTTTATTTCCCTATTTGCATATTACATACGAAATCGTTGTAGCTTGATCAGTGTGAGAAGTAGGTCAAAGTTACGTAAACTTGATGTGTATTGATCAAGAAATTACATAAACATGCACGATATATCATTAGCTCTGGTGTTTCGTGATATATAATGCAAATATTTTTATTGAATAAATTTAAGATTGATAGGACGAAATGTGTAATGAATATTTATAATTTTTAAGTAGAGCATTCTCAATTTATCATTTGAGATGAAATTTAAATGACAATCAAGAACACAGAGAATCTTAACATTTCACACACTAGTTGAAAATTATTGCAGTTGAAAATGACAATAACACGAGAATAAAGAGCAAGGTTTTCTAAACATTTCTTTTTCTAATGGTTGTAATTTATCTAAAGAAAAATGAAACAACTTTTAACCATACAAATGAGACTTGTGAGACATGACAAACCATCAAATGTTGGTTTTTATCTCTGTTTACATGATATAAACAAATTTCTAAATGTTTGCAACATTTATATTTATTTGCTTTATACGGCAAAAAATTGTGTTTGCGGAGTTCACCTTCAGTATAATGAATCATTGATAACCTTCCAAATCTCGCTAAAAAAAATTGCAAGACAGCTGTCCTACACCAAACAAAGAAAACCATTTATAAGTGAATGTACGAACAATTGATCTTAACATAAGGATCGGCAAAGTCAATTTCCTCTAAAAAGTCGTCTCGAAAAAATTTCTTAACAGTGACATAACTGATGACAAGAACGTCTGCGCGAGGTCGATGTACATAACAATGACATTCTTACGATCAAAACTGATCATCATCTGTGTCAAGAGCCCGGAGTTGATCTTTGATCATTTCACTTTCACTCGTATGAGGTCACCCACCCGCCCGTGCGCGGCATGGTTGAAACCAGGAAAGTTCGGTAAGGGGCGTTTTTAACGAATTTCCCACATTGGGAATAATCTATTTTTCGTTCTTAATTTAAAAATCCAAATAAAGTACAATGTTGTGTAATTTTCCAACGTTATAATTTTTAAGAGAATGCTAGCAGTCTGCGAAAATCCATGATGTATTTTATAATATATAGTTGATAAGGGTGAAAACTATAAGTTCTCATCATACATACTCTTTGTATATACATGCCCCTACATTCTGCACCATGTAGCTCCTAAATGAGTAAGTTTAGAGAGAAAATGCTAAGGGTAAATAAGTCTTAAAATTGCATCTACATTCTTAATACGCCATAAAATACACAGTTTTCTTATTTTGAAATTGTCTGGAAAATGCCGGCCATTTTTTGAAATAATGGAATCATTTTTTTTAATTTTTTTATGTTCTTTTTAGAATGTAGATGAAATTTTAAGACTTATTTACTCTTAGCATTTTCTCCCTAAAGTTAGGAGCTACATGGCGTAGAATGTACACCGCAAGTAATTTTTTCTTAGTTTTTTTTTTTAAGAGGTTGGCGGCCTCTTTAAACCTTGCATTTGCAGTTTTAACATGCTGTAACTCCTAAATGAGTAGCATTAAAGAAAAATGCTAGGAATGAAATGGCATTTACTTGCTTAAAAAATAAAATAAAAATAGGGGCTACCATAAAAAAATCAAAGTTGGTGGCCATATAGAAAAATAATTTTTTGATATCCCTTATAACTTTAGAATAACAGCTGGCACACTTATATCATCAATCACCTATGTAAAATAAAATGATTGATTTCAACTGGTCACGACGGTTACAATCAAGTCCAGTCCCAGTTGCAACATATTTTACATACGTTTACCATATCGTAAAAGTGTACAGTACAAGTTCAAATATTTTCAAGTAGTGTTGGAAATCACATTTTATTCTATCAGCATAAAATTGCTAAACTATACCTGTAATCTATATATTAATAGGCCAGCATGTTTCTCAGCTCGTGTGCGTCGCAGGCGAAATCTACGTATACTGTTAGAAAGATATTTTGCCTGTAGATGTACAGAATCCCTTTATAAATTAAAATAGGCACAAAAATGAATTTAAAATTAACATTGGCCTGATGGGTTACCATGCTGGTGACAAAATATAAACAGATGATAAAAAAAAATGGAAGAAATTCCAATCACGGGTTTTATTTATAGCGTGGGGTGAAAATAGAGAAGTTTGTACAATACATATTTTTTGTCAAGTTTTAGACCACGAGGCGACTACTTCGGAACATCCACAAACAGAGAATGGCACTTTGTGTACGGCCTCCTAATACGGTAAATCAAATCTATTCAATACTAGTACTAAAAACATTAACAAGTGTTATTTTAACAGTTTATTGCTAATTTTACGGGTGTCTATATGTTTTTACAACGAAATCTCTTCTTGTAGGGTTTCAATTTACGTGTAATGATTATCCAGGGTAAAGAGTCTGCACGTAAGCAACCTGATATCACTACTATTTGTATTGTTTTAGTTGTATGCATGTTACTTGCAAAGTGTATATGCTGTCCTTCTATTGTCTGACGCTTTTATGAAGTATAAAATTGAGTAATAAATAGTTATTGTTGTAACTAGTGTGCGAAGTGGCACTTTGCTTGCCTTGTAAACCTGTGTACAAAAAAAACTCTTATTTGGTTGTCTCTCTCATGGCACTATGTAAACATTTAAATTTTTTAAGATGCTAATCTTATAAACATTTATATAAGTTTTACATGGCCCTTCAAACATGGCGTACACCAAGTCTATAAAGGTCATGTACAACTCCATCAAACAAAAACAAACCCCACCAAGTCAGTGTTCCTAAGGACCTTCACAATGGCTGAGGATCAGCTGGTCGCTGATTACTGATTGTTGATTACTGATTGACGACAGCTGAGTGATCGTGCTGATCACTTGTTTCACTTGAACTTTTGTTCATTCCATGCAATGTAACCTCATTTACCTACAGGTTGCGTCGTCATTCTGAAGGTTAACATTTTACTATCGTCATTACTCTAGACAATATCTAATCTTAATTTACTCTTCGAGACAAAGGGGTATGTGTAATTAACTCACAATTCGCGCTTCTTATACCAAGTACAGTACTACTTACTGTAATTCTACTTGTAGTTTTTGTCTCCCTACTAGTTACTGTGCATTTTGAACTAATTGATAAATATATGGTTTTGACACTACGAGTTTATTTTAAATATGGAATGTGTATTTTTTTATTGTGATTGAAAAATTTAATTCCAGATTGTTAGAATAAAATGTTGACTTTATTATGCCTTATTATCTGTTTCTTATTATGTATTACTTTATAAATGCCTAAGTAATTTATACAGAAGTATACTTCCCCTGCAGCTATTTCAATTTTTATCAGTTTGATGGTGAGGCGTTTATTTGGATAAAATTATAAAAAAGGGATTACTTTTTACAAATGTATTTATTATTTGTTGAAATGTATTTTGTATTTACTTTATTACAATCAATAAATCAAAAGAAATTCATTCCTGAAAGATCGAAAAAACACCCACACAACAATCATACGTTTTGCTAAAAACCTATGTTTTTTGTATGAAAGTAATATTAAATCCGCCACATTCAAAAGATCCAAGTTAGATATACTATGTATAAATAATACAGCACGTATACACAATTGTTTAATGCTCGTTAGTCCGAAAACCTGTAAAATTTCTTCTTATTTAAAAATGTTAATAATTTATTTTTAATTTTATTATTCTTAAAAAAATTAAGCAGTTAAATACTATAATTTATGTTCATACTCTTATTACTATTGCAATTTACTGGTAATGGTAATGCCAGTTAACTTTGAAAATATTCATTACACATAGGATCATTATTCAAAGGTACTGACTGTTCACAATTTGACTAGTCATTTCATGCGATGTTATTATAAAATCATCACACAAGTCAATCAACATGTTTAATTAAGATGGAAAATGCCTTACGAAATGTTATATTTATATATTTTTTTAACTCTAGTTAAAGGGAGTTCGCTCTACCTGCAAACCACACGGAATTGTTGTGTTGGGAGTTTATTGTTGATCCAGTGTTACCGATAGCTTACTTGTCATCTTTCCATCCATATTAATAATACTGAACTATTCAAATTTCGTCTTTCACTTATATCGTTTTGTTAAATTAAAACGACAAAAATAATGCAATACTGTATTAGGATTTGATGTAGGTCTAGTAATATAAAATTTAAAAACTACATGAACATTTTGAAAGATTTTATGTATGTCTGATAAAAATCTTACTGGCATGCTGAAATTTGCCCTTTATACACCCTTGTAGAATTTATAATATATGGAAAATGAAATTTATATAATTAATTTTAATATTCGAATACATTTCGTGAAAATATTTTACCTCAACACACAACCACAATAATATTATTACGCACAGGGCTAATGAATAAAGAATTCCTCAAATCCATAAAACTTTGCCTTAAATGCAGCATTAATATTAATTATCACTTTAACAAATTATCTAAATAAAAATAACACTCACGCGCTAGCATGCAGTATATGTAGCACAGACTGAGCGAGTATAACAGAGCAAGTATACAGTATCAAGACACTGCGCGGGTTCCGGGTTACATTCACCGAGAGAGTATAGCCAAAGACTAACTGGAGAATGGTGACTACAACGGTGGAGTGGACTGAAGTCGTGGGGTGGGGGATGGTCTACTGTTAAGTTGGGCCTTCGTAGAGAATTTGGAATTTGGAATTGAGTGGCTTTGTTGGTGTTCTTGCTGTCCTAATGGATTGATTAGCTAGCGCTTATCTTGTTTCGCAACTTGACATATTTGGTAGCAGAAGGCAGTTCTTTTCAAGGTAGGAATAATTTTTTTTGAATACTGAATGTATGCACTTGAATCCTAGATTAAACACACCCCTAATAGATCATCTGAATAATAAATGCACTACATAAAAGTTATTTGTAAGGTAATACTCTATGTAATATTTTGTGTTCTTGCTGTCCTAGAAACGCGAGCTTTGCCTTTAGCTTCGAAAACGAATAGTGGATCACACGAGTAATAAAGTGGGGATGATCCAGCGACTGTGGATCCTTGGTAGTGGATTTTGTATTTTGTAATTTTGTTAGTGTGCATAATATACCAAAGGTACGATTTACTATTAGTTTTACCTTTGGTTCAAAATATATGAGCTGTGGAAGTGTTTCTTTAAGACCGGGATGAGCATAACTACAATTGATTAAACACACTCTAATCACATAAGTCATGGAGTGAGGGAATGACCTATTAAACACTCACCGTAGCTCCATGGCAGTAGATATGGCATGATGATTTAATTAATGTCTTTTGTGCCCTAAACATTTACTAGTAACTTTAACCTTGCCTTTACAGCGAGGTGAGAACATGAAAGATATAAATCTAGGATACAGAAAACTACACTTGTTATACAAACTCAGAGAAGCTAGCAGAGATTAATCATACTTTTTTATGGATTTTTCATCATTACAGGTCAGTTGTTATACAATCGGCATTTCGTCCATTGGGTAGTGCATGTTTATGGCAACTATTTACAGTATTAATTATCCTTATTTTATCAAACCTTAAACCCAGTTTAACCAGCCTAAGCAATATATCTATTACAACAATAACAATATTCCCCATTATACAATATTAATACCATAACAATATTTCATGTCATATTATCCCTTTGATTCAAAGAGTTTCAAAGAGTCTTTGATTATCTTTGGTTCGAAGAGTAAAGCGCACTTGACATTTTATTCTAACATATTTGGTCGACATCAGCGCTGTAAACTATACGAAGTATACGAAATAAACAGCACTACTTAGTTTTAATAAGTTATCTGTGTTATAGCTCTAGCTGTGCTGTAGCAAGAATTCAACGACCTTTTTAAATTTGAACAGAGTATAAAAATGTACAGCAATTGAACTTAAACATTGCGATTTTTCTTATCGTTGCCCTATATAAAATGTTTAAATGTTTAGCTATAAAGACACTACATTAAAATGTATAGGACGACACCATAGGCCAAATATTTTAGCAATTGGCCCAATAGCTTTGGCGTGAAATCAAGTTCAATTTCAGACTAAAAAGCACCAAATTTTATCCAAGATCATGTAGCTGTCCTAGCTACTAGCATAATCAAGAAAACTAACACCCATACATCCAAATATATTTACTTTACTTTCAAACTAATTAATTGATGAAGACAGGGTGTTAAAAGTGCACAAATGTAAAGCCTTCTACATCAAAACACTGTACAAGAGTAGGTTAAGTGATCGCCTTCAAATCTAACCGTAATCCGATCCAATGAAAGCTCACCTTTGACCTTGATCTGGCATCATAGACGTCCAATTAAAGCTTATGCTATTAAGGCCATGGGAATCTACAATAATGGAAAATCACCCAAACACACTTTTTAGTACCCATGATCTCCTTGCAGAGGTTTTACACTTCATTGGTCAAATAACACTAGGATACCTACTTAATTTTATTTCTGGTTCATTTACGTTGCAAATAAACATAATGTAGAAGTTTACTCGATTTATAATACAATGGTTAATTATAGAATGATTAGTATTTCCTAGTCCAAAGTAAAATTTACACGAATGGAATCTATGTATCTTCACTAATTTAATATTCTGTAAATTTAATTGATTTGGTCAATTAACCAACTCACGGAAGACGTATTATTTTTTTTTATTATATTACTAGTCAATATAAAGTGCATATGTTGCAGGCAAAGTACATAATCAGGCATTCTATGGGTTGCCTAAAACGAACCAGGCAATGTATGAAATAAAGATCATAATATACTTTGCCTAGTCATGCTATAGAAATGCCTGTTGGCACTGCAGGTACAGTATGAAATACGCTATTGTAGGGCTTTTTCACACTTTTGTATCCATGTGTCTTTTGATTATAATATAAAATAAACTAACCTAATCCAACCAAACATTATACGAAATATTTATTTATTTGAACGGATATTTTAAGACTCTTGATGCCTTGATTAACATTAGTACTAAATATTAAGTAAAAATAAGCAACATATTCTACCCATACCCAAAATAATTAATACTGTTAAGTAAATTATTTGTTGAAAGAATATCTTTATTTTATACTTATTTTATGTGATTATACCCTAGGGGTCCGTTCATTTTATCACACACCTAGATGGTTTTCACATACGGCGATAAAGCTGTTTTTACTTAAAATAATCCGCAATCTTCGATCAAAGAGTTGAAACACCAAAACCTCTCATATCTCTACGACTCAAACTTATACATTTTTATATTATCATATGAGCACAGCAACTTTTTGTTTCCAGGGTTAACCGGGCATTTCGAAACATCGAACAATATCCCTCGTTATCAAAAACTAGGTCTTAAATCCGTCCTATTAACAGAGCGGGGTAATATTCCACAAACTAGCGCCTAGATTGGGCAAACTCTGAACGTTTCACAACAGGCAGCGCATAATTAGGATAACACTGTGAGAAGCGCGTTCCTACCGGATTCTTCAAAATTACGTAAGTTGGCGACAAAAAAACTCTCTGTGAAGTAAACTTAAAAAAGGGTGTCTTGAAAATAGAAAGTGTAGGCCAAAACTTGAATGAGAATTTAATTAAATGTAGCTTAGTAAATCGGATTGTGTCGAAAAAGTCGAAGACGAATGATTTATTTTTATCCTTAGGTTCCAACCTTAACCACCAGGAAAAAAATGATTCAACAAAAGCTTTTCAATATGATGTTTTAGACATATGCAGTTAAATCATTTTATCGCTTCAAATTGTCCAATAGAAGGTTAAAATGAAATTTTCACTCGTAATTAATGGGAATATTATTTTAATACAGATATTATTAGTATAATATAGTACAGTACAGCAAAATGTGCATTACATGATTTATGTTCTTTGTTTAAAAAGTACGAATCCAGCAAAGCAATGTAAACCTTATTTTCTTGAACCACAAATTATCAAAAAACTTTCTCATCATTATCATATTTTTCTCCTAAATTATCCAAATTTCTCATAAATGTTATGTTTATAGTTTTGAAATATGTTTTCTGGGTACGTTGTATGTTTACTAATATCATTAATATAAATAACAAACACAAATCCAAGCAACCGGCAAACGTACCATACTTATGTTGATTACAATTGCTAAAACACCCCCCAAAAGTGACGTTTAATTTTAAGAAATCTTTCATTCCTTAGCGTATCTGTTTCAAACACTTTGAGGTTATTTTGTTTCCGGAAGAACCACTCCAACAGAACGTGTTGTGAGACTACACAGAGTAAGCAAAGCAACACAGTCGTCGCCCTACTGACCGACACTTTCACTACTTCTTACTCTATGCAGCAGTGTTACGCAACACTGGACCTTCCGGTCCCTGCTCCTACGGCTTCGGTCGATCAACTACAAATACTTCACAGTTCACACTTGTACGTGTGTTATTTAGCATTGTATTGTAATGTGTTATAATAATGGTTCCGTCTTACTATATAGTGTGTATGTACGAACGATATGTATTGCAAATAAATGATAATAATTTATTCATAATTCATCTATTCATTTATTTACGTGATTTCCAGTAGAACCTGATTATGTTACTTGACCTAGATCTAGTGTCAACAAGGCGTTTTTAAGATTTTTTTTCTCAGTATAAATTTCATAATCCAACTACACGTGTGGTATTTTGAAATTGGGAACTTGTGGCCTATTGAAATTATTTAACATTGTGCTGTAATTAAGCCGCATTGAATACAATACAACTTAAGTAGGTACTAAACAATTGGGGTTAACTATTCGTAACTGAATATTTCTAAATTATAAATTATGGCTTCGATTTAAAAATACTCCATTTTTTTATTTATCACTTAAGACTTAAGAAACCCTTAACAGTTAAAATAAATCGCTTAATGCTTACGTTGATCAAATATTACAGGCACACCTAACTATTGCATGAAAATACACACACACATACTAATCTATACTATTTAAAAATTAAGGTGGTGTCTTACTGTCAGTCTGTCTTTCTGTGCAGCTGTCACGACTATAATACTAAACCGATACAGGCAAAATTAAGCACAAATGGTCCACATATCTAGGAATGTCTTAGGCCTATGCAATGCCCTGAGTTCCTCTCGGGCTTCGCCCCTTGGATGCCCAAAGTTTTTAGGTGAGGTTTTAAAAAATAAATATTAATAATTGGTCTCCATGGAAGCATGAGAAAATTTACAATGTTTACCTTTGCTTTGACATTTCAATTTAAACAATCAGAACTGTCATGCTTATTTCACCATTTCAGACAGCTGATCCAAACAAATTAAATATAATATTTTACACAATTATGTGGTGGGTTTATTTATTATAAAAATATGTAATTGATTATGGAAATAAAAAAAGGTTCTATAACCGTTGCTGGATCAACCCAGGCTATGCTTTCGATTTAATAAGTAAGTTATGAAAACAATGTTATTGATATATTTTCATGTAAACAAACAGTAGGACAATTACAATGTAGGTAATACTTTTTTGTATAAATTTGGTACGTTTTTCTTTATAAATTTGAACTACTTAAATGTTTGGATTAGATGGTATTGTACTTTAC